TATACATAAGCACACCAGGGGGAGAGGGAAGCTTCCTAGTACATTCACTTATTTGGGGGATAATGTCCACTTATTTTAATGGAATGAAAACAAGGAAGCTAGGTTGTTATTTTGAGAAGATGTTTATGGGGATTTGATGGAGGTGTGGTTCGGCCAGATTAGGGGACAAAGGGGTGTGAGATATATTGGCTACTTTGGTTTGTTATGGTGGTTGAAATATGGTGGTTGTGAAGTGGAAAAGGGCGGCCCAAGGGTGGGGTAAAGAGGAGAGAGATGTGGCTGTTTTGTGATGGGTTTATATGCCCCATATATCTCAACAAATGGGATGTTTTATTCTTAGCTTTGGAGTGTAGTTGTAGGGCTTATTTGGTGGTTAAAATGGAGGATGTGTATGCTGTTTGGGTAGGGGACAAAGGGGGTCCATGTGTTGGGGTTTATTATGGAGATGATATGGGTTGTTTTGGCTTTTGTGTTTCAGCCAGGATTGAAGGGAAAAGGATGAAATATTTGTGGGTCATTTTGGTGAGTTTAATGGGGTGTGTTTTTGATGAGAAAGGGTGGGGGTAAGGGGGTACGGCCTGGGCAGTAAAATGGGTTGTTTGGGTTTATTTTAGGGTGAGGAAAAATCCAATGAAATTATGGCTAAGGGTTTGGATTTAGGAGGGGTAAATTCATTCCAAAAAGGATTAAAACACTTGGACATTATTCCACATATTTGTTTAAGGACTCGAGGATTGTTGTTGGTGGTCGGGGGTATATCAGTAAATCTCTCAATTTAAAAGATGATTTTTTTGTCTCATATTAGTCAATCTCATTTGCATGGCCTAATAATATCTGCTGGTTGTACTGACAAATTTGATTCAGTTCTAATTCAGAAAAAGATTTTCAAAGCAACTTTAGCACAGTTAGGTCTCGGTATGTCACCTTATTGAAGGGAAAGCAAATAGATGGAAAACAACATTTCCTATTAGATAAACCAGTTAGAACTATACAATACTTTATGAGTCAATATATGTCTGATACAAACTACTAAATTATCTGATGGTTAAAACATGTTAACATTGGAAATATTAAATATATTTATCCTTCTGGATTTATTGTTTTGTTACTAATGATATTTCCTAGCTATTGGAGTTTGCATATTGAATTTGGGACCTGGATTATAAATGACCTGTGTGTGTGTGCATTTTAAAGAGTCAACCGAAGTAAAAATATCTGTGTGGGTTGTGAACTTGGTTTGCCAAGGACATACTTATTTAAAGGCCAGAGCAGTGCTGTACACGTTATGTTCAACACTAGCAATGACACTATTGTTACAAAAATAGTACTCCGTGACAAAGATTTCCTTCTTTTTTCTGTTGTAGGGTGTGTGTGTTATAGATGGATAAGTGAGCTCATTATCTGCTTCTACTTTTGGCTCTATCTTAATTCTGTAGGCTAAATCCTGAAAGGATAGGAGGTGACTTCAAGCACGAAGTTCAGGTATAAATATTTTTGGAGTTTTAGCACACTACATATTTTTGAAATGGGAGTTTTTCCCACAAG